TGGATTTGTTTTTTTCTTCGAGGAAGTACAGTTTTGTCTTTTTCTGAGAGAAAAAAGCTTGGCGCCACAGTCTCTTTCCGCGGCTGTAGAGTTGTAATCCTGAAGTTGTGTTTTATTAAGCAAACTCTGATAGTTTATCCAAGCAATAAACTTAGAAGCAAACTTAAAGCAAACGCTCAGACTTAGTATAGGGAAGTTTTCAGCGCCTTCTGAATGTTTGCTTTCTGTCCAAAGACTCCTAGGGTAGGGACAGATTACGATTACTCAGAGCTTTAGTTCGTTGGTTGGTTGGTTGTTAGAGGATGACTCAAAAGTCACAGTTGGAATCTTGTTTCTTTATGAAATAGCTCAGCAGCTCTTCAAAACGTTCCCTCCTGAACGTGGTTCAGTTTTACACTGTTATATATTTTCAGGTAATGTTTTCTTTCTTGGTTTTTAGTTTTCTAGGTGTTTTGTACCTGTGGCTATATTAATCACTTTCCCCTTCCATGAGATTTCACGGAAGTGCTGGATGTACTTTGTAGTTAGCCTAGCTGAAGCGTGTTAGGAGGAATTACTCTGCACTGATTGAAAGCTGATTAGGTGGGATATGATGGTGGTTACCTGTCTTTGCTGTGTTGGCTTTGATACTGAGGTCTCTCTATTGAGATTTGAATTTAATCTGTTCATTGTCTCCCTGTTTTGAAAATCATAAAGAAACGTTGCCGTTTTGGAGAACCTATCGTAGGAGCGTAGGGAAGGCTGTCCTGCATCAGGCCAAAGGTCTGATGAGCCCGGTATCCTGTTGGCTGCTCAGGCCACGGGTGAACGGCTAGGGAAGGCGCTGGGAGGAGGTTGTATGTACGAGTACTTTTCTGACTCTTCTACCAACTACTTGAAATCTGTGGCTTTTTCAGCTGCTACCAATGTGTGCTTGTCAAATATTCTGTTCACTTTTGAGAACCGTTTTCTTGAATATCTCCTCTGAAGCCTCCAGTATTCAAAAATCTGCTTTTGGCTTGGGTAATATTTTTCTGCTGTTTACAAAGGTGTTGAAGCTGCCTCATTTCCCTAATTTGCTTTGTCAAGAGGTGGTTTAGCTTCCTGAGAGACAGGCTATCAGCAGGATGGCAGGAAAGGGGAAATCTGTCATTTCTTCTGTCTTATTTTTGTGCTATTTCTTCCTTTTTATAGGATGGAGACCACATGGTTGCCGCTTCCTCTGGCTAGTTACTTCTGCAACTTTTCTTGAAATAGGTGCAGAGTTGCTGGCATTAGTTTAATTCTTACGCAGCCAGGACTGTAATTTTTAATACTTCTAAGGCTAGTGTAGTGTTATCAGACAAAAATGCAGGCGATATTGTAGTAGCTGTGTGCCCAGAAGTGGATGCTTCCCAGCAAAACGTATGATTTGGACTAAGAACCCCTTAAGCCTGTACGTAGGGGGTGGTGGGGACATACTAGAGGCAAGGTGGTGTTTGGGATGACCGAGAATTCCCTTCCAGGAAGCCCCGTGAAAAGTCCCTTGGTCTCATCTTCTGAAGTATCATGTCTCCGTGTTCGATGTTTTTGAGGGGCCTCTTGGAGGAGAATTTGGACATTCCTGAATGTTGCATCTCCCCTGCCTTCAGAATAGCCTCCAAGGAGCTGAGAAGTGACTAGTGTGCTGAGGATCAGGGTCGTTCCTTGGCCTTTAGGAGGATGGTAGGTCATTGCCCTTCCCTCTGCAGGGTTTGCAGCCATCTGCAGCGCGTCTGCTGTCAGCTCTGCTTCCTGTTTACACTGCAGTTTGCTTTAGACTGGACTCTGAAACAGTGATGCTGACAGAGGACGAGGCCAGCACCTGGGTGGCTCAGCTCTCCGAGGCTGTCGCAGGGAGAGAGGGCAGGAGTCTTTTTCCTGGCCCGTGTCATTGTATCTGCCCTGCTCATGCATTCTTTTTTCTGTAGAAAGTGATCCTTGCGTGGCTATAGACAACGTTCACTGCTCAGCAGGTTTCAAAAGGATATTATGTATGTTTAGCTCAGTGATGCTCTTTAGGGGTTCACTTCTGTCTTGGAGCTGCTAGGTCTAAAACCCTGAACTGATGGATTCAGGAAAAACTTCTCTATAGGCAGGTTACTGAAATTCCCAATGCACCACCTTTGGAAGTATTTGGTTCAGATCGCTTTGGTTCAGGACTCACTTGTTCTACTGCTTGTTCTAGTAGGCAAGATGCTTTCTACTGTGCGTTCCTAATGGCAGCTCAGCTGATGCTGTTGTGTGGCCTGCTGCTTCCTGCAATACTAACAGGAAAACAGACCAAGTTAATTCCTCTTTAGGCTCAAGTGATTCTTTTCCCCCTGAGGAAAGGGCTTTTACAGTAATTGCAACACTGATAAACGAAATTTTCATGGTGGCTTGCTGGGTTCCTGTTCGTGTTTGTGGGATTTGCGCTGTGCCCAGCTTCCATAAGGTCGTGCTTGAAGAACCTTTACTGCATCAGTAATCTCAGAGGAGAGATGAACGTAAACCTTTTTGCCTCTGCCTCACCTTTCATGTCACAGAAGTTTCCATATATGAAGGTATTTACAGAAAATTGGGGACCGACTGACTGGCTATGTCTGACTAGAAGCCAAACTTCTTAAGGGTTGGAGCATCATGTTTGCTCCAATAAGGAAACCATCTTCCTGCGGTGTTCAGTATCCCTGATCAACATCTATTCTTGCATTGCCAGTGCCCTCAATGGAGTATCTAGCTCGGTCTGGCAAGAAGGTGGAGGAGGCACTCGCTGTTCTCCTGTCCAGCCTTCTCGTCTAGAGTGCAAGCTGCTACCCTTTGTTCTTTGTGGGACTTGAACTATTTCTGCTTGTGGAAGTGCAATTTGGAGGCTCAGAGTGGAAAAATTCAGAGAGAAATTGAAAATGTTTTGCCTGATGATGTCATCAGAGCAAATGTAAGCCTTTAAAAAAATAAAGGAAAAAAGGACAGCTATAACAATAACCACCAACTGCATCTAGGGAAGGGAGAAGGCCAGTTATTGGGGGGGCACAGAGAAACTCTTACTAGTATTATTTAATCCTCATATTATTACCAAGAGTTTTAGCAGTTTAGAATTATTTTTCAAGGACTGGACATTTTAAATATGAGGGTTGAGACTTTGCAAGCAAGGGGGTTCAGCTGCACACGCGCTGTTGATTTCAGTAGGATTTGCGTCCCACAGCCAGATTTGACAGCTCCGACTGTTCTCTGTGAAGCAGCTGCCATGAAGCTGCTGCGGTCTACTCAGTTCTCTGGTCCTTCCAGACACAGGAGGTGGCATTTCCGACAGTGACTGATATGTAGTTACTAGACTTTAGCTGTTCAGAAGTGGGTATGTCTTTAGGTACAGCTGGAAGGAAAAATGCTCCATTCTGGGGAGATGTAGTTGCTGAGAAAAGTTCTTGGTCTTTGTTTCTTCTCTTCCTTCCATTTTGCATTGGCTTTGCCAGCTGTGAAATACAATTGTCAGCAGTTTACAAGGAGGGGGGAGTGTCAGTTTTCCTGTTGAAGAAAATATCAAGGGTCTGATTGCGAAAGGAGAGGGGAAACTGAAGAATGCCACACAGCTTCCACCTTCCTGTGTTTCATCCTGGCAGAATCGCCTCTGCTCGGTGACTCACTTTGTGTCTGTTGATGTTTGCTGAATGGAGAACAATTTTAACAAATGATTCTGCCTTTATTCAATAGGAGCCCTCTGAGATGATAATATTACTCTAAAGGGAACCAGAAAGGCATGGCTATTAAGAGTAAGCTAATAGTCTTAATATTCTTAATCAAGAGTTATTTAGAAATGTGTTAACACGGGATACAAATAGCAATGGAATAAAGATCCTGAAATTTCTGTACAATCTCACTCTGACTTTATTTGGCCTGTGGTCATCTGACTGTGAGTGTTAACTCACATCGCTTCTGATCTGGCTCTGAATGCATCACTGTAGGTTGTCCCAAGTTTGAAAGTCACATTGTTCTTTTATTGTAAAATACTTTGAGCTTCTCCTATACAAAAGTAATTCTTCTTAAATCAGCACCATGGATAAATATTAAGAAACTCTTGATCCTTCTGACTGGAATCATTGCTGGGCAAAAGCTTGTTTTTAATGCTTATGCCCAACCTGCCCAGTGCCAGTTCTGTTCAGGAATACAAGTCAGCTTCCAGGACCAAAGCTAGGGGCTGATGCCAAGGACAAAATCTTCACTGCTTCAATTTTCCTAACTTAGTTTTGAATGTCTAAGCTGCAGGCCAGAGGAATGTGCTATACCCAACCTGGAGCTGTCAGCAGCCCACAAAACTCATAAATCCAGTGAGCGGAGATGTCAGTACAGGTGACTGGACAGCTGGAGTTGTTCTCTCTGCACACAAGGGGGAAAGGGACCTCTGAATAGCTCAAGGAAATACTCTGTGTTGATGGAACTGCTGCAGCTCTGCTTCCCGAGTGTTTCCTTCACCACATGTTACACTTGACCCTGCCAGTACTAAACGCCAATAGGAGTCAAGTCATTGTCCCCAGTGGCAGATTAAACTGCTTTGCCATTGTTGAGAGTCCAAGATTTTCCTCTCTCACCCTGGTTAAACGACTGCTTGGATGTGTAGCCAAAGTAAACATGAGCTAATAAAAAAAACGTAGAGATAACAGATGCTGAATAGCCGTTATGGACTAAACGGTCATGCTATAGCACAAAGACGTGTGGGTTTTGCTTGCTTATTTTCAGCTTTAGTTTTTGCAGCTCAGTTACTTGAAATTGAGGTGATATACATCAGGTATAACTTTCTACTGCCATAGGAGAATGGTAGGTATATATATGTTTTGAAGAAGAAAGGGGTCTCTTAGGCTGCTGAGGATCTAGTATCCGTGTTAAATACTATTTTGCACAAACCGCAGGCCAGCACTTCCTCAACTGAGCGCTGGAAACGCTGTGGCAGTCTGTGCAGCTTTGGAATACTTTGCTGTGTTTCCCAGTGCTCCGTTTCCTTGTTGACCAAAAGCACTTTTTCAATTGACTTTTCCACTTATTCAGTACACAGCCTTTGAAGCTCATTGCTGTAAGATAACATTGTGATCAGTAGTCTGGGAGGGTTTGTAAAGAGAGGAGATGTCTACGTGCATATCAGGAGTGCCTAGACTTACGGGAAAGGAAAGAATGAGTTTTGGAGAGGATCAGAAATCTTTCAGTGTGTAAAAGCACTATGGAGTGATTGGCATTGCAAGGTCCCTGTATGCCTGTGGTGTATGGAGTAGGGCTGTTGAGTACTGTGTTATTCAAGGTGGTGGTGCTGAAGTGAATCGCTGGATAGGGAGTATAATTGTTTAGAAATACATCTGTCATAAGTGCTCCTATGTTGCTAGCGTACATAGTCGCTGTTTGTCTGAAGCTGGCTGAACTGCCTGAGTCTTTTTACAGCATCTTTCTTTGCTTTGCTTTTTCTGTAGGCTGGGTTGGCATGGCCTTAGGCCCTGATGAGTTCATGGTCTCTGACGCTGTGTCCTTCGGCCACTTCTGTGGCAGAACGGTAGGCAGCTGATCAAAAGGTTGTGGAGAGACTGGAGGCTGAGAGTGAGATATGACATTAAAGGATTAAAGGCTGCCGGGCAATAATTACCATAAACGATGCAGACAAGTCCAGATCTAGGAACAGTTTTTCCTCTTTCATCCCAAGCTAGTCAGGACTCATGCTGACAGCACACCTGGAAATGAGGTAATTGAATACTCTGCCCACATTGTTCAGATTAGTTAGGGCTTGGGCACAGACATAGCATATATTTTCTCTGCTCCTGGGCAACCTTTGTTCTCCTGCAGCCAGGAAGTCTTACTGATGAACTGAGACGTGACAGGGTGCTTCTCTTCTTTCCTGGGAAAGATACCCCTCAGCCATCTGTGGTATGACTGTCCTGAGAAATACCTTTCCAGATGTGGAGATCTTGCTACTGTTGAAGTGAGAGTAGGAAATGCTTCTAGTGTTGCCCGAACATGTTATGTAGGTCAATTGCGAAGAAGATGCAACATGAATCAGAAAAGGAGTTGGAAGAGGAGGAAACTCACTGGATTGCACCTTGACATCCCCTGCCAATGAAGAATTTTTTTCTATCAGCACAGAAGTGCCATTGGAGATCACACTCGTTCTCTTCTGTGCTCCCTATACGATCCTGTAACTATGAGTAGCTGAACTGGAAATAGAAGACTTCAAACAGAAGTTGTCCCTCTATCCCTTTCTACAGAGATAGAGTGAGGTCTCCTCCTTGTCCCTCTGGAAAACAAGCTGCATCAAAATCATTGCTCTAACTGCATCCGTTTTGGGTGAATGAGCCTCCAGAAGATGTTTTTGTGGAGGCACAGTCATCACATTTTTCTGGCAGCTGCTCTCTGGTGGAGTGCTAGCCTAAACAGCTCAGATGATTTTCCCACCAGGTAATCGACACACTGTTTGGTGCTCAGCAGCAGCTTGAGAAGCACCAGGAGTGCAAGCCAACAGGCGGAGCGTGCTAGGCCTGGGCGTTTGGAGGTCAGTGATGGTGGGAAACATCCTAAAAACGTCCCTCATCTGGGCAGAGCTTCACTGAGCACTCAGCTTCCCTTCCCAGAGGAAGTAGCCTGAATTTACCTGTTGCTCTGTAGAGACCTGTAGGCTAAAACAAATTAGAAACATTGGGACCAACCTTAACTGATAAAACAATTTGCCAGCTTTTAGCCTCAAG